AAAATTAAATAAAATTAAAAATTAAAATACATTTAATCTTAAAAATTTAACATTCATTGCTCATTAAATTTAGAAGTATCTCATCCTTGGAATGCAATCTGAATTGTAGTGCAAAGAGCCATGGGAGCAAAATACAATACGTTCCTGGGACCATCATTTCTCTATATCTTGTTTTATGTTTGTTCTGTCTATTTTTGAATCACTGATGTAAAAATAATCTGCTTTATGAGACTTTAAAAGCATAGTAAGTGTGAAAGCTCTGCAATTATGAACTTGTTACTCTAGATCACAAGAAACAAAGCAGTGCCATTAATAATTTGCTCATGATGTTTATACTACATAAAGTACTTTCTAATCACTACTGTAAGGGAGGGAAATGGTGTAAGGTTCAATTTATTGACATGCAAAAGAATGTCCTTTAAATTTATAGTTCTGAAGACTGTATTATCTACTTACAGGTAGAAGTTGAAATGATTATTTGTTTGACTGTTGCAGAGGTTTTGCAGACATTACACCTACAACTGGCAGGTGCTGGGTTGTGTTCAGGAAATACATGTTGCAATTACTTTATCATGCCAAAAATCTGTTTTTAAATACTTAATATACCACTGGATACATATTTATGTGAAAATCACTGTAGAAGAATATATTAGGACATTTTTTTCTGTTGCAGAAATATTCAGTGCAAACCTGAGCAGTTTAAGATGCAGTATCAATGCAACCTCTGTGGTGAAGTCCATAGACCCAAGGGAGGCTGATTTGAATGGGACCAGGGCTTCACCCAGAGTGTAGGTGTGCAGATGTACATGTATGTACATGTATGTGCACTGTTAGATTCATACTGAACACTTTCTGCTGTAAAGCAACTTGAATCTTTATTAACAACAGAATGACAAGGATTTTTGTAGCCTTTTTTCAATTTCTTCAATAGCAAAGTCTCTTTCATAAAGAACCACAGTGTCCTGGTTTCAACTGGGCTATAGTTAATTTTCTTCCTAGTAGCTGGTACAGTGCTGTGCTTTGGATTTAGTATGAGAATAATGTTGGTAACACCCTGATGTTTTAGTCGTTGCTAAGTAGAGCTTACTCTAAGTCAAAGACTTTCCAGTTTCCCATGTTCTGTCAGTGAGTAGATACACAAGAAGCTGGGAGGGTGCACAGCCAGGAGAGGTGACTCGAACTAGCCAAAGGAATGTTCCATACCATAGAACATTATGCCCAGTATAGAAACTGGGGGGAGTTGGCCAGGAGGGGCTGATCACTGTTTGGGGACGGGCTGGGCATCGGTCAGTGGGTGGTGAGCAATTGCATTGTGCATCATTTGTCTGTCTTGGGTTTTATTTCTCTCTCTCGTTTTGTTATCTCCCTTTTCATTACTACTATTATTATTGCAATTTATTTTATTTCAATTATTAAACTGTTCTTATCTCAAACCACTAGTTTTACCTTTTTCCGATTCTCCTTCCCATCTCACCAGTGCGGAGGAGGAGTGAGCGAGCAGCTGTGTGGTATTCAGCTACTGGCTGGGGTTAAACCACAGCACAGAGCCTCTGCAACCTGGCTGTACCTACTTTAGCATTTTAATGCACATCAAGAGTATGCTTTTAAAGTCTCCTGATCATCTCCACTTGTTGCCCTTTGGCTTACACCACTGGGCACTCCTGTCAATAACTGTTAGAGTCGTTAGGCATTGGAACAGGCTCCCCAGGGAGGTGGTGGAGTCATTGTCCCTGGAGGTGTTCAAAAAACGTTTAGATGTGGTACTTCAAGACATGGTTTAGTGGACATGGTGGCATCAGGTATATGGTTGGACTTGATGATCTTTGAGGTCTCTTCCAACCATAATGATTCTGTGATTCTGTAACTTAAGCGATGTGTTCCAGGAGTAGCCTAACATAGGGCAGCTCTTAAAGGGTGCTCCGTCAAAGGGAAGAGATTGTGGCAAATGCAGAGCCAACCCCTCCAGAAATGTGTGAAGGGTGGGTATCAAGTCCTCAGCAGATCTCTTGCAACTGGGCTACACATTTTCCAGTATAGACACAATCAGTGCATACTCAGGTTCACACTGCAAGGCCATTTTTATGGGAAATTGCATTCACATCTTGGTGAATTCCTCAAATACGTGCCACTACATCTCTTCATAAAGTCATACACCAAGGAGAAATTCTAGCCTTCCCCTTTTTGAAGTTGGCTTTTTTTTTTCTACCTAGCTGTCACAGGTCTCAGGTGAAATTTGACTCTAGGCACGCAGAAACAAATGCAGAGTGCAAAATCCACTAAAGAAACATGGTGGTGACCGTCCTATACAAACCCCTCATTTTTCATGCTAACAAAAGGTAGAGCTAATCTAGGTAAGTGAACTGCAGCCTAATCCTGTACCGATGTCATTTCTACTGACTTCAGGCCACGCTTACTGCACTGATTTCCACTGAGCTTGTACTGAGTAACGTGAATACCAGCGAATCAAAATTTGAGACCTTTTTTCATTAATAATCTGTTCGCAGCTTCCTTAAACACTTACTTGACTAGCTAATTTAAGGTTTGGGCTCTTCCGCGAGTTTGGCTGACCTATACCACTACTCTTTTACTTTTTGCATATTAAGTACTATTTGCATGTTAAGCTCTAAAGGCAATGAGTATCTTTGAATAACTTCAGTGTTTTTCTAAACTGTATGAACATTGATGTCACACTAGAAAAAGAAGAGTTAATTATTACACAAAAAAGTATTTCCAGGAAGCAGTTCATCACGGCCTGAGAACTACAGTACACAACTCAGAGTAAGGAGGTTTCTTCTGTATGTTCCCCCCAAAGAAGATTAGACAAGTAAGCCAATCAGAAAAAATAGCAAAGAGTTAGTTCAGCAAGGATATTGACTCCTTTGTACTGAGGAGTCAGTATTGTCAGGAGTCAGCACTGACTGCTCTGAGAATTAAAGTAACAGTTAAAGGGAATTAAGTATAATTTCCCTAGGTAGTTTAGTTACAGTGAAGGGATAATGAGCGATATGATCAAACCCACTTTTTTCACTAATATGACTATTAATATAAGGAAGGAAAGACCATGACACTGAACTCAAACAATAATACCGTTAAAATGAAAGCATGTTTTTGAAAACTTTGTAAAATTCAACAGGTTCTTTTCTTCACTGTTTTGCAGTTATTACTACTAACAAATCAAAGTCTTATATTCAGATTGCATAGCATTTCATAGTCATCTGAAGGCCTATCATTCAAACTGCAAACATAATTGGAGCTGATAATTGAACTCCAGAGGGGCTTTCTTTGGCTTGCTTATTTGGGGTCAAAGTGGTTATCCTGAGTTTGATTGATACTCAAGCAAAAGTTCTTTTATTTTTTGCTAAATAAGTTACAAATGTTTTCCAAGCATAGGTCCTTCCCACCATGTAACTGACCTGAATTTTGGAAATAAGCAGTGTGGAGAAATGGAACATATGTTAAAAAGCAGACTAAATAGTATTTTATAAATACACATGTGTTTCAAGCAACAGTACCATCTTCTAACCACAAAAGAAATACGAATAAAGCCAAAATGAGATAACTTGACATGATATTTAATTATCATCTACTGATATAATATTATCCACAGCTGACTATCTACTGTTACTGTACATGCACCTTCCATTACTCTGACCGTGTTACATACAAAGAAGCTAACCTGGTGAAAATGCACAATTAAATGAAAAAATAAACAAACAAAAGAACAAAAATAACCCTCATCCCCCCCCCGTCCAAAAAAAACGTCCCCCCCCCAAAAAAATCCAGACAAAGCACCCATAGGAAAAAGCTTAAGCCAGTAGGAGGGGAGGCTGAATATGAAAGAAATAGTTACTTTTTCCAGGTGTACATCTCCTTCTTCAGATGGCAAAGTACCCACATACATGGATACCTAATTAACTAATGATGCTGAAGATGTAACTTATTATACTTTTTATTGTTCTGTCACACAGGAGGTTGTTTGTGGGAGCTAAAAATTGCATGATCTCAACCTGTCTCATAGGTAGAAAAAACACAGATGCTCTGCAAAACCACCCAGATATACTGAACAGCATACTTGCTATAATCACGTGACTTCAAGATTAGTTTTTCTCACTCTTCTCAATCTAACATTTGAAAAATTAAGGCAGAATATACAGCTTCCAGTTTCCTAAGAAAGAACTTTCCACATTAATTCAGCATCATCCATAACTGGCTTAAAATGGCTTTAAACTGGAAGAGGGAAGATTTAGATTAGATATTAGGAAGAAATTCTTCACCATGAGGGTGGTGAGGCAGTGGCATAGGTTGCTCAGATAAGCTGTGGATGCCCCATCCCTGGAAGTGTTGAAGGCCAGGCTGGATGGGGCTTGGAGCAACCTGGTCTGGTGGAAGGTGTCCTTGGTCCATGGCAGGGGGCTTGAAACGAGGTGATCTTTAAGGTCCCTGCCAACCAAATCATTCTACGATAACCTCTGGACTGATTAAATTTTCAATTCACTCCTGGCAGCATTCATGTGACACTCATGGCTCAGGGTCACAAAACATTACCCATCAGGGCTAATTGTAACAATTCTACTTCTTTGCAATGGAGCATAACTCTTTAGTATGCTCTTGGAGTTGCTGCCTGCCCAGAAAACACTACCTTGAGCATGCCATCCAAATATGTATTATTACCTCATTCTATAGCAAAATGGTTTTGAATTATTCCCCGCTGAGTATAAGGCCTGTTTACAGAACCAGGGAATTTTTTTGTGCAAAAAGCTTTTGTTGATCATCAATATTGTTTTAGGTCATTCTTTAGGTCATTAACACTCAGGGATGTAAAGTTTTCAGCATCAACACGTGGTAAACTAGTGAGATTTCTACAGTATTACACCAGCCTTTTTTACAAGCTTATTTGGGTCTTAACTGAGTAGCTTTGTTTTGCAAAATAAAATAGTAGACAAAAGTTTCTTTCTTGCAGGTTCTGTATATAACAAAACAAACTCTGAAGTCTCAACACCATGCAACCCTCCTGTGGAATGATTTTCATTTTTCTGCTTGTAAGGCTGCAATGGAACAAAAGCAATCCTGAGGGCAGAAAACTAAATGAAACAAATAATGGAAATAACTCAATTACAGATAACAATCAGTCTACAGTGCAACCAACTCCACAGAGTTTTTTCCTGCCTGTGACTACTGCCATAAATCCTTCCACCATCAGTCATGCTGCACCAACAACTGCCAATGCCAAAAAAAATGTAACAAAAAGAACAGAGATGAGCAGTCATCCAAATAGCACACACCCAAGGTCCACTGACGGCACCACTTTACCTTCAAATGTCACTATGGTAGCAAAAGATGGAATAAATAACTCTGCCACAAACTTCAACAGAATCCCAACGTCTTTAGTGACATTTACAAGAATGGATGACTTTTCTGGAGTGACCAAAAGTGCTGCAGCTACTTCTGCTTCCACCGTGACACCAAGAAACTCCACAGTCACCTACAGCACCCCTTCAGCTGCAGCACTCCCCAGTGATAACTCTGCAATTAACCCCACCGCGTTGTTCCCCACCGGTATCACTCTGACATCACCCTCGGTGAAGCAGAACAGTCCTACACTGAACTTCAACTCGATTCAGCAGACAACGGAGCTGAATCATAATTTCAGCAACCCTTCCACTGCATCTTCTAATTCAAAAGATGGCAATGAAGGTAAGTACCTAACTGAAGTCCAACTGCTTTAATAAAATCATAATGCTGAAATAAAACTTTTTTTTTCATTGAACAGGAGGCTTTATAAGATGTGTGAATAAGTGACCTAGTACAGAGTAAAATTAGAACTCACTCAAAATAAAAAATATTTTTTAAAATGATTTGCTGTTTCCTTGTTTGTTTAACACTTCCAAGAGTGGGGCAATCTAATGACAGGTACTACCCATTCACACTGGAGTGGACCTTCAAAGCATATGTGTAGAAATAACATTTAAAACGTGTAACACATCAACTTATTTAAGTTCAGAAACTTTTGTGTCCAAAGATGACTTCTTATAAATACTTCCAAAGGAATTACTCATTGTGCATTTAATTATCAAGTTGAGTATGCGTGGGAAAACAATAGAGCATAAAACTGTCATGGCACTTTCCTATCCTGGTGCTCTGAATCAGGTCTTCAGGAAAAGAAAAGGAATGAGTAGAAGACACAGTAATTTTTTTCTGTTAATTAGCTTTCAAGCTTTTAACACAGGACTGAAAGGCTTATCCATCATATCCAGTAGAGCACAGTTTGTACCAAGAACTGAAGGAACATCAGACTTTCATGGTTCCCATCATAGTTCTAATAATTACAGTGTACCTGATTTTTAGATAACATGACTGAAAAGGAAGTGGAGGTGGGAGACCAAGTTCAGTTCCAAGAAAAACAGAATACTTTGAAGAAAAGTTTTACGAAATCTGAGGAAAAACTTGGAGGAATGCAGTTATTCTGCTAACTGAACAGGTGCAGAAAGCATTACTGGATTTCTTACCCTGCATACTCAAAAATTGGTAGTCTAAAGGTTAATAATTTGAAATTCAGAGGCTGCAATTTTAACTGCTGGCTTAAGTACTTACAAATAATTGCATTCAAAGAGTGATTATTGCTTTTTTCTTTAAATAAAAGGATAGTGATTGATTCTATAATTAAACCTGGAACCTTTTTATTTGACTAAAAACTCATTTAGCCTTCTTTTTTTTTTTTTTAAAAATCCCAGTTACTCCCTCGAAAGTCAAGGATGGAGATGTCTATTTTCTTTCACAAAGGCAGAAAGTTTCTGCAGACAGGCTGGTTTAGTAATAGTCTGCAAAGTGTTTCAGATCCTTGGTGAAAAGTCTCACTCCACAAAGCCCTTGACTGCTATAAAGCGAGAGTGAAGTATCTAATCTTACAGATTTATTATTATCATTCAACTGTCTCTTCTGTCTTTCTCACTTAGACAAAACCAACAAAGGAGGAGTAATAGTTGGTGTCATTGTGGGAACCATTTTGGGATCTATATTAATTGCTCTGATTGGATATTTTATATGTGGTAAGAAAAGGTCTGAGTCATTTTCCCACAGACGGTTTTACGATGATACAAGGAATGACCCAGGTAAGGAACAGCACAAGTGTTTTGCATAAGAACATTTTTTATTTCTGCACAAAGCTGCTTTAATAGTCTGGTCTTATTGAATTATTAGGAATTATTTTGTCGACTTCAGTCAAACTAGTTTTCAACTGACAGTATGTCTCCTTCTTACAAGTTATTTTTTTAACCTCTGAAATGTCAGAAATTACCGTATCTAGTATCAGCGAACCTGTTCAAAGAATTGCAGGCGAGTTCAAAACTATAGCTCAAAAGCGCTCCCAAACTTTGATTAACTGAAAAAGGCTAGACTCCTTACTCATCCAACTTCAATTACAGAGTAAGGGATGAAGCTATATCTGGTTTTAGGAGTAAAAATATTTTTAAGGGGTTTAAAAAGAAGATCGCTTTTGTCTTCTCCATGAATATGCATACACTTGTATTAAAATGTAATCACACAGTCTCCAAACATTTATATCATGTTCCTGGATTTTATTTTTAAATGCTTAAACAAACATTGAGAGGCTAAACACACTTTTTTCTCATATAAAATCAAATAAAAATAAAACTCTGGCAATATGCCCTTTCTGGTTTAAATGCAAGAGCTGAAAGCTGCCAAAACGTCAGATTAGGAACTAGCTTTGAAAGGTGACCACCCATGTAGTGCTGAACAGGCATTACTGGGAGGACACGTTATCTTCAGAAGACTGTGAATCAAGGCCTTCATCTTTTGCTCCCCCATACGTAAGAAAGAGGTTAACCAGACTTTGCTGTGAGGGACTGCTGAACTAAACCGTGAGGTGCCCAGTGAATGAGGATCAGAATCTTTCAAGCAATATCTAAAAAATAATTATGTTATTCTTTCAGTTCTCCACTTAGACAGCTCACTTGGACCATACGATACGAGCTTTGGATGTGCGTCAGATGACAAAACCAGCACAGCAGACAAAGCAGAGGAAGACACCGCAGGGTGCCCATCCGATGGCATTCCTATGGCTGACATGACACCATCCCACCCTTCACTGTAATGTTTGCTTCAGATTATATTGTCACCTGTTATCTACATGCTTTCATTTTTTCCAAAACAACCTGGCAGCTGTTATCTCACAGCCATTACTATGCAAACAATGTTTTGGAAAGCAAGGGGAAAATCACAAGATACACTGATACGCAACAGGCAGGGCCCAGTAGCAGAGCCCTTCTACTTTGTAATTAAATGAACAACCTAGGGTTTTCCTGGAAGGATATTATACTTGCTTTCTTAGAAATGATATAGACAAATAGCACCTAGGAAAAATTCCGCCTTGTGTAACTGTGGTCAAGAATGCAGACATTGTAACAAGCAAAATTTGACTAGGATGGCAACGATATTTTAGCATTAATACAAAAAAGAAAAAAATCCCAGATTTAACTACCTTGAGGTGAAACTATTCTGTCCAAATATAATTTCTGTCTGATGAATGACTCAGGGCATTATTTTTCCCACTCTACATTTGTACCTTCCTCAGCGGATATGACAAAAAGAATTAGGTTTTCTTAGATTACTTGGAGGTTGAAGTTTGCTGGGAAGAATAGAACTACTGAGTAACATGGACTACATTTAACCTTTGACTATGATGACACAGATTTAAGATTGCTATTGAAGAGAAAAAAGGAAGACAAGCTTCTATTTCTCTGTCAAACTTATCTGTTGTTTGTGTTGCAAGGCTAGATCTGTAGAAATTATAGAAAAGGTTTTGGTACAGGTTAGACAGAAGAAATACTTATCTTAACATGAAAGGAAAGGAATTATCTTTGCCATGTATATAGATATCCTAAAAAGCATGGTTCAGTTTTGTCCAGCTAAAGAGTAAAATTATGGCAGTGTAATGCAAATAATTGCATAGTCTATATGTTTGCAATTACCAGACATGTCTAAATAGAAAGAAAGAACATGAAAAAGACATAGCTGTAAAGGCATAGAATAAACAAAATAAAGTGCAGAGAAAATCACTGCTCACATGGAACAGGTGCTTGTTACTATGACTCTGTTAAAATGCTTTATTTAGTGTGGAGACTGTGGACCATGCCGTTGGAGTTATCTCACTAATTGGCTGTGACCGTTGCAGTGAGGGTTTATTTGATAGGTGAGTAAATTACATGCACACACACACATCCCAGAGAGAAACAATTCCAGTCACACTGCAGATGAGTAAAACGGATACTTATTTCAAAATATTTAAAAGATTAAAGAATTGAGCGCATATGTGCAGTGTTGCCATTCCTATAGGGTTCAGCCATGAAAACAGCACACTTCCCATCAAAACCAGAACCTGATTTCTAACATTGTATCCAGCATGTTGGATAGCAGACTGTAAATCTGAGACACATTCACCTATATTAGGTATCACTCTGCTGCTTGATATTAAGAAAAATGGAATGTTCAGCTTTAATCTTCCTTAGCGCATAAGATACCATTTTTCTTGATGATGGTAAAGCAGTATCATATAAGCAAAATTCCTCCTTACAATTGAACACTGGCCTCAGCTGAAAATGGGAAGAGCTCTCTCCAAGGAGACATCGAAGACAGAGATGAAGAGATGCTAAGAAGCTACCAGTGTTGCCTACATCAGTAACCGTATAAACAAGTGCAATGTATTTTACAAATTTATGAAACTCATTATTAGTAATTGCAAGGCTGTAACAGCAAGATTAGAAGCCAATGAAGAAATATCACTTAGGCAAGCAATCAAAGTGTGACCTTTAGTTATATTGTGTTAATTTTTAACAATCTAAATATGATTTTTGCATGTATGTGCATATGCTTGTATTGTCTATGTACCTCTTTGATGTTTTGCTGTTGTTTGTATATTATTTTTTACTTTTACCAGGCCAGCCTCCAAAGTTTGTGACATTTGTTCATCCTTCACTTTAAGTTGGAATCATTAATGTTTATTCATATGTATTACATAAATAAAACTGTTGTGTGCCATTTGACTCTATTTAAAATTGTAAAACTCTGGCTTGAATTCAGAGAGTTGTATGTATGTGAATTAGTGTTATTTCCTCAGGGTTTACATAGACAAACATTTACATTAGTAAAATTGATTGTCTCTTCTTCTAATACCAGCCTTCCCTACTTTCCAGCAGCAAAATACTATTAGCGTCAGTGAAAGCTAATTCCATGAAGCATTTCATGCTGGAACCATTACATCTGTCTTGTATGGCACTATTACACTGACCTTCTAAGAGAGGCAAGAGTGTTCTTGGCAACTCTTCTTCAACAGTGGCCTCTGTGGATATCACCCTGCTTGGTTTGGGCCCCATGACATGATGAGTGTGATGTCAGAGTGAACGTAATGAAATATTCAGACTGAGAATTTGAATATAAATATTTAAATTGCTGTAAGCACTTAACATCACACCTTTCCTAGACTTCCCTCTCATTAGCTCCCACAAAAACATTCTCATTTGTTTTATAGCGATTCTCCACAAGATGTGATTTTTATATTGACTCCAGAGCAGTAAATTAACCTACGTGTTTGCCTCTAAAAAGACTTCTGCCTGCATGATACACAATTCAGGCTTAAAGATCTATAAGATGCTAATGACAGTCATTACATTAACGATAAAAGGTATTATTTTCACCCACTACTAGCATAGAAATTGAAGTTGATGAAAACGGGGGAAAAAAAAGTGCGTGTGACAAAATCATAATGCTTCTTTAAATTTTATCAAGAGCTATATTCTCCCTTTACCCAGTAATCATATAAAAGAGTCAGGTGAACTAAGAATACAAAACAAATAAAAATGTACTTACCCCAAATTGCCATGAAAATAGCAAAGAAGACAGTCCCTCCATTATCAAACAAATGTGTAACCTGAACAGAAAAGAAACACATCAGAAACAAATAATATTGCTACCTTATCTTTTGCCCTGAAGAATCCCAGAGTACATAACTGGTGGCAGAAACTAAAAGCTAAGCATTCTGATAAGAAGCCCTACTTGCATGTTTCTTCTACCAAGGTTCATCACATTCTGTCTTTCAGTATAACTTGAACCTGGTTTTCCAGACTGTCACTTCATGCATCTCCAGTCTATTTCACAGACACTAAGAGTTGCTCTATCCATGTCCAAACACACTAAAAATTCCTCCAGAGTTCTTCTCATATGCTGGGTCAAATTTAACCTCAACATTTTCTATTTTAAGGTTTTTTTTATAAGCTTAAATAACTTCTATCTTTTCCTTTTTCTTAATCTGTATATTACTTAGTTAACAGCTCTTTGGATTCCATTTTCTTCTTCTCTCAAGCTATCCTACAATTTCTCTGCAGGGAAGAATAGTATATATTCCTTTTTATCCAGACATCTCAGCCTCTCAAATTGTTGACATGTTCTCCTTCTTAAAAGGCTAGTCTCACTAAACTCCAACAAATATTAAATAAATTCTAAATATCACATATCCCCCAAAACGTAATTCTAAATTGTGCACTTAATTTCTCCTCATAAGTGCTCTCCTTTTTGTTGGATTTATCCCTTATCTTACTCTTTGTTATAAGATTTTTCAGGAAGAACAGATATTCTCCTGCAAAGTCCAAGGTCTACTGATAGAAAATAAGTAATACTTAGGTTTTGCATGCCTATGGATCACTCTAAGCATCTGAGTGGGTGAATTTCATGTCTCACTTATTATGAAAACATCATAATTTCTATTACAAAAATCCAGAATTTCTAATATTCAAGTCATAATATGAAACAGTATTTAGGAAGCTGAAATTAAGATCAATGTACTTTCAATAGATTTAAGGTTGTCAATTCACAGCAATATAATTTATCCAGGGATAACAGGCCTATATTTCTTCTAAGGAAAGGTGGTTTAAGATGTTGCTGAGCATTAGTAAGCAAAGCATAGGCTTCAAATTCCTATTTGAAAAAAAAGCAAAATCATTATAAAATAATCGAGCAAACCAACTTATCATCAACAGGCATATGGTAGAAAGAGGATCTGAAGAGAGAGGAAAAAGAAATGAGAAAGTGCTGGAAATGGCTTTGATGTGTATCATCCTAAACCATCCAGAAAATTCATGGTGATTTCCCACTCTTTGAAATAAGAAGAGAATGTCTTTAAATAGAATATTCTTGAAAAAACTTTACTTTCATTGGTGTTGACTCTGTTGCTGACTTAAGGACGAATTTTTAAGCTTTTATTGTGAAAAAAACCCAAACCCTGTCCTTATGCCAATGGAAGGGCACAGGTAACCAGATTCAGTTTTGCTGTACTGTGACCTTCTCTTACATCTGAAGTTACTCTGGCCA